AAGGTCCCCTCTCAGCCTTCTCTTCTCCAGGCTGAACAAGCCCAGCTCCCTCAGCCTCCCCTCACTGCAGCACAGGGCTAGCACAGCAGGCAGGAGAATCAGACCACGCAAATCTCAGCTGCAAGACAAGCGACCGTGTTTTCCTTCGACACCCCCAGCCAGGCGTCTGCTCGGGCCGGGCTGTGGGAAGGTGAGCGGCCGTCACTCCCCAGCGCTCACCGACAGCAAGGCGCTGGCTGTGCAGTAAAAAGTGCATCTCATCCAAAACACACAATGCCAATTAAAAATAAAAAGGGAATGGATTAATCAACCTTTGTCTCTTTCTGCGGCCTAACATGCTTTCCTCTTTCCAATCAGTTCTCAAACAGACTGCTTCCAAACCTTGAGTCCCACTTTGCCTTTCAGTTCTAGCAAAACAAAAGATAGGAAGTGGGAAAAAACCAATATAGCAAGGGCACAACTCAACAAACCTCACTACATTTCACTACAAACTCTTCTGGGAAAGCCATTAGAGTACCAGCTGTTTAACATCCCAGTGAGGTTTCTTTAGCCTGACAGTATTTTATTTTAGAGCCCAGAATACTGGTGGAAAACACGTCTAAAAGCACCTTTACTTGGTCACAGTCACAGCAGACCTGCTGTAGGCGTTGACTCCTTCAGCAGTGCAATGGTAACTTGCCAAGATCAGGGCCAGAAAAATCCTCCTTCAGAATCCTGAGGGAGCAGCAGCAGGCCAGACGCACGCTTCCGCCGTTCCACCAACATTCTCTCCGGAATTAAAAGCCTTGAATATCGATTCCACTGTCACCACTTCACTCACTCCAGTTAAAACCCCGTCTAGAGCAGGGACACCGACGCTTCAGGCCGCTGCTCTCAGGACTTTGCCGAGAAGTTGGAGGCGGCAGAGAACGGAGAACACCCCTTTCACACAGCCCAGCCGCGACCTGCTTCTTCCCCCTTTCTCTTTGTCATTTCCTCTGCTGCTTCCCTGTCCAGCGCTTCCCCTTCCGGCCCCTCCACTCACCCGGACGCTCCATGCCTCGTGAAGCGGGCACAGCCTCCACGGACGGGTCAGAAAAGCCTTCTCGCAGCCCCGGACCAAGCCAAGCACCAGCAGAGCGAAGGAGCCGAAGCCTTCAGCCTGCTCCTGCAGCACTGAGCGCCGAGCTGTGAAATTTATTACAAACTGAGCTTTCCTCTCCCCTCCGGGGAGCCGCTCGCCCGCGGCACCTGGCTCAGCAGGTACGGCCAGCTCTCCAGCTCGGCGTCTTCTGCCTCCTCGCTGCTTTCTGGCCTGCCCTGGCGAGGTCTGCACCCAGCTTAACAAACACTCTGCCGCTGCAGAACAACGCTATTAATTACGGTGAGTGACAGCGTCCTCCTAGCAGCTCCAGGACTGTTTGCAATCAAGAATATTGCCAGTTATAACCAACAACAGCCCGAGCACCGGAGCTACCGCAGTTCTGCTGGCTGTCGGCCGCAGCACCCGGCTCCCACAGCACCCAGCTCCTGTACAAACGCCCTCCAGCACGGCGCGTCAGACAGGTCAGGTCAGGCTGAAACGAAACGCTGCCGGATTTCAGGGCAACAGCGCTCGCAGACCCCGCAGAAAGAAGAACCAATTTCTAACAGCCCTGAGCCTTGCGCTTCGGCCTTCCCGGTGGCACCGGGTGACTCCTCGCTTGGGCAGCTTGGTGAGGAATCCCAGCATGGTCGGGGTTGGCAGGGACCTCTGTGGGTCACCCAGCCCAACCCCCTGCCCAAGCAGGGTCACCCAGAGCAGGGGGCACAGCACCGCGGCCAGGGGGGCTGGAATATCTCCAGAGAAGGA